TCGGTGTACCCGAACCCACCTCCGATCATTATGACATTATCTTACCATCAGAATCGGGTGGATGACGGAGGAGAGTGTGCGGCAGGTACGGCGTAAGTCTGTTTCACTCTAAGCTGGTTCAAACTCAAGTCATCATCCTGCACGCACTGCGTGGGGAGTATGTGGTGGATGGTGTCGTCCTCAACGGCCAAACTGTTGTCTACATAGAAGGATTGGATAACTTCCCATAAATCGAAAACGTAAGGACCTAGCCTGGGTAGTATTATTCACGAGTGGAGCATGTAGCCAAATACTGTTTCGGGCGCCAGGATCAGTTAAATAATCGGCCGAAAAATATAAATGCAAACATCCAGCACAGGAATGGAATTGCGGTAATTAACGACTTCAAAACTGATAATCAAGCAAGTATCGCGCCAAAAAAAACTCTCTTCGATTAAGGAAAAGAAATTTGCTTTTTGTAGGTAGATGATAACGCAATCCATGCGTCCTACAAATACTATTGCCAATTTTCCATGTGTTATCCATCACTGATACTGTCTCTGAAGATAGCTTCGAACAGGAATCGGACACATTTAGTTAATAAAGACCCGTGTTTGGCGATTGCGATAAGCCTAAGTCGAAAACATCGAAGATCAATGTCTGTCAGCGAGCAGATGTGCGCCTCACGCTTAGGAATCCACCCAGACATGGTACGAGAACGCCACCCAAAGTCATCTGTTGCAGCACTAAAACTATTGTGTTACAACCGACATCAGCATAACAAAGCCTAGGGTGTGGTTATCGGCTGCCCTGGCGAGTGACTGGAGCGTAAAGAGTGCCATCGATTGTTAATGCTAGAGCACTGGCATTTCCAGTTCAATAAGAGAAATATATACATGAACACGTTAAGTCTTAGGTGAAAAGTAAATGCTAGGAGTCTGCGTTTTATTAATACATATACATTTAAAATGAAGATACGTTCCTTAGTTATAAAACAGACTAGGCCACATGGGCCGGCACTAAAAATTTAAAATCTGTCCCAGACAATGATGAGAACAGCTTCTAAATGAGCTCACTTCTATACCAACAAGTAACACCTAGGAGCGTAGGAGCAGCGTTTAATAATATACACAGCATATACAACAGTATACAATATATAATCATCGTATTCTGTGTCGCAAACACCGTATGGAATTTATTAAGCCAATTCCTTCCTGCCAAAGTAGCAGATGTCAGCTGTTAGGAGATTCAAAATGAGTGTGCAAATCATTCTCCGGTGTTAAAACCACTTTTATTTGGTGTTTTTTATCAATGGTCACTTAAGACGTTCAAAAATATTTTAATAAATGGGGATAGGTTACCAGAAAATTGGTTTTGAAGCCTAGATGAGTGTACTGTGCACTCTTGACCTTTTTTCTCAGGAAACATTATGAGAAACGTTACGAACCTACATTTTAAAATACATAAATAGTTTTAAAGCATGTTTCCTTGGTTGCATTTCGACCAACTTTGATGTATTTAACCTATGGGAGAGTTCTATAAGTCAGTGTTATTGCTGCCTGGGTAGTTGTATCAGTTGAAATACATTTTTGCATTAAAGCATTACTGATAAAGACAAGGGAGGCCGAAGCGACTGTTATATCCCGCTGAACAAGTCTGAATTCTCTCCGTCCCTTCTCCGGCAAAACCCCCGTCCGAACTACAAAATGATTGTTTACCTCTTATGACGGCTGCCCCTTCCTCCCTCG